AGAACCCGGGTTTGAATCTCAGCATCTACATGGTGGCTAACAGCCGTCTGTAACTCCAGTTCCATGGAATCCGATGCCCTCTTCCTTTCCTCTGCAGGCGTTGCAGGACATAAATGCACTAACACACATGCAGGCATGACATTCATACACATTAAATAAATAAATAAATAAATAAATAAATAATAAATAAATAAATAAAAATTAAAAACAAATATCCATAAACATTTATTGGACACCTATGTGATAGCAGACACAGGTGGCTCAGCCCCATGAACTTCAGGCATCTCCGCCTTCACAAGTTTAGAATCACTAAAACTCAGAAGAGAAGTTCAATCAGAGATCAGCCATTATACAAAGATCAGAATGCCACCTATCCACCCTAACTATCTGCTGATAAGAACAGCAGTGGATCTGAACAAGTGAAAATCAATACGAGGACCTGGGTGGCACTATTCATGACTACAAGCCTTTTCATTTTGCCTTTCACTAAAGCTAAAAAAATCTTTTGGCCCAGACACAGAGCAATAAAATCTACATGATCTCAGTTACATGTAGAATCTGAAAAATGTCAGACACATAGAAGTAGAGAATAGAGTGGTGGTTGCCAGGATCTGGGGGTGGGAGAAACAGGAGATGCTCAAAGGATCCGAACTTCCAGTTATAAAATAAGCACATACTGGGGGACCTGCTGTATCACATGGGAAGGCAGGAGGGTGGTAATCAACTTGACTGTGGTAACCACTGCACAATGAATACACACATCAAGTCATCATGCTATGTACCAGTACAGTATACACACACACACACATACACACACACACACACACACACACACACACACACACACACACACACACACTATTTGTCAATTAAGTATTTTTAAGGAAAAACTTACAAGTTAAAGATACTTTTTTTTACAAATTTGAAGAACATCCATGTACTGTTTCCGTTTTCGTTCAGTCCATGTGGTAAGGAAGCTTGTCCTGAATTTTGCAATTCTGAATTTAATTCTGGACTTTTTAGATCAAAGTGCCACTATCTCCCCTAAGCAATACTATTCTCAGGTCTGTCTTTTTGCTTAGGATCCTAGCCTGTGATTTAAAAACAACCGCCAAACCAAAAAATATCTCTCCAAGACACCATTGTCATAGCTAATCCCTAATCATGTACTTTTCCCCCATTTACCCATCAGCTTCTTTTTTATGTCAGAGACGGTCCAAATGCTAAGTGAGTCCTCCAGCATGCTAACTCTAACTCTACTATTGTCTCATTCCTTTCATTATTCCAGTACCAATTAAGCCATCCACAGACATGAGGGTCTGTTACCAAGAGATCAAATACATACAAGCAGCTGTTTATTTGCAAATACAGAATATGATGAACACTTACAGAACACTACTTTTCATCTTCTTATTTACATTAGATCACCTCCCCTCTAACTTTTCTCTTTTCAATTCAGCATGTCTAGTAAATAGCCTTATGTTTCCTTTTCACCAAATTCCATTGCAGTAGACATTACTGAAATGTCGCCAAATGCATCATATAGCCAAGGCATCATAGCACAAGCAGATCTCAAGCAGTTGGTATTAAGTTGCTACTGTCACATACATCATCTCTTTTATTATTTATAACTCCCTGCATACAGAGAGCTACAAGGTAAAGTAACTTTTGTATAAGCCCAGACCTGCTTGGCTCTAGCCTCGCCTCAACTTTAAGAATGAGGGAGAAGAGTAAAGTAGAATAAAGGGCAGAGAGGAGTAGACAGAGAGCTGAATCGTGGGCAGAATATATTCATTACAATTCATTATACAAACATCTGTGAAGCATGTGGCACTGGCTGGGCATAGTATCTACATAGAAGATGGATTTTTGTCCCAGAGAAGCCAGTTTGGCTAAAAGAACTAGAATCTCTTGGGATCAACTTCTTCTACCATAAGGACAATAATCACTATATATTGAAGTGATTATATATTGAGAATGAGTGGGGCTCTACAGTATGGGGAAGACATCTCAGATAAGATGCCTTTTGGACAAGAACATAAGCAGTATGTGAGCATTCTCAGGCTACCTAGAATGGAATGTCATAACAAGCAGTGGTCAAGGCAGGGCAATACCATGGAAGCGAGCTGATGGAGAGATGTTTAGGGAGCTGTATGCCTCAAAGAGCTGTGGGTTAAATGCATCACAAAGACTGTGAGAGCTAAGAGCACAAAGAAGGTAGTTTTGATGATGTGGTACAATCAACATTAGGAAAGAGTAGAAAACAAAGAGGAATCACATTAAGGGGGGGTCAGGGATTGGAAATACGGGACATGAAGTTTACAGTGCAAGTGGCTACTCTATGTAGCATAAAATATGGCGTTATCATAAGTCATTGAATCATGTGAATTGTTTTGTCAGGTACTTTTAATCATGACTATGAATCATTTTAACTGGGTTACATGGGACTATGGATTATGATAATTTCATTGGAAAGAAAAGAGGTAAAAGAGGCACAGTAATATCAGGCCTTAATCATAGTTTGGGAGTCCAAGGAAATGAAGGTATAGCCTGAAAGAGCAAGAAGTTTGGCATGAGGGGCACATAGGTATTTCACAGCAGCAAGCAGCTGCTGAAGTACAAGGCTGGTGGCATAAAGACTGACTAATGTGCTACTCTATAGTGTCCCAGCACCATGGAGACTGGATATCAGTCAAAAGGCTGAAAGCTTAGAAAAGAAAGCAAAATAATAGCATTTTTACATCTGTCTTCAAGAGTAAGTAATGGAATAATTGGAATGAATAAAGGCCATCCATGAATTGGTGACATAGCAAATATCTACAACATAATCTGAAAAAAAATATTTTGATGATCAGGAAAAGTTAGGTATTATCAGACTTGGGATTCTATCTCACTGCTCCTTGGACAGGGAGATTTGATGTTGGGCAGAAGGGTGTACAGTGTCATAAAGACTCTTCTTGATCTGGATGCATAAGAACAAACTAGATAAATTGTGTCTTTAACTATCAGATATGACTGCAGTCTTTCCCTGCAGATGACAAATGGGATTTTAAACAAAGAGAAAGAAACCTTCATTCCTAAATTTGTCAAGCCACTCACTGATAATACACCTTCACTGAAGTGCTTATATTACTGAAGTCAAATAGGCTTAAGCTCTGATGCAGTATTCTATGACACAAAACCTCTATGGAATACAGGACTAAGAGATCCTGCTTATGAGCTCCTAACTGGACTTGGTGGAGCTGTCACTAAGTTGTTAGGGCAATTTTTTACTTTTTAGTTCATCATCTCTCACTTCTCTGTCTCTATGGATGAGAGTTTCCTATGCATATGCCTCAGATAAAAGTGATCCACACTGTTTCCAGAGAGCCATCCTTCAGTGCCTTGGGACCTCCTAAGAATACTATGAAATTAAATGAGTCTAGACTTATGTTCAAAACACATTATAGCTTAGAATTCTGACACATAATGAAGACAAAATAACAGCTCAATACACTCATGAATCAAAGCTGCTGTTGCTATAATTTTTTTAAGCATTAAAGGGAGAATCTACAGCCCAAGGATGACAGGACTCCTCACTTCAAAGACATAAATTCTTGCTGTCAAATTTGAATTCCTCTGCCAACTTCTCATAAATATCTGGAGCCATAAACTTGATGAAAATGATGATTATCACAAGACAGTATGTTTAACAAATCAATTTCTAGGGCGTTCTACTTCTGTATTGTTCCATATAAGACAGTATAAGATACAGCAAATTAACAAATAGAAATTGTAGTATTTTGGTCTTACCATTTTTGTCTGCTCTCCTCAGTATCTGGAAAGAAAAGAAGAAAACTTTCGTCACCTTTTAGTTTTTCTGGGACTAGAGTTCAGTGGTAAAGTGCTTACCTAGTATGTTTGAGGCCCCAGTTTCAATTCCCAGTAGAAAAAAAGAAATCTTTTTGTTGCCACATATTACAATGGACATTATATTTACACACAATTAATCTCTCATTAAACAAAAGAAATCCCAGGGTTAAAGGCTTCCCAACTGACACCTTCTTTATAATATCTCCCAACACAGATATAAGTCAAATGTTCATCAACAGGTGAACAAATAAAGCAAGTGTGGTATATCAGTGCAACAGAAAACTAGCAGGCAGTTAAGACAGAACCAGCTGTCAAAAACATAAAAACTTAGGTGGATCTCAAAATAACTAGGGTGAGTAGAAAACTTAGACAGAAAAGAATATCTACCATATAAGTACATGTATATAAAAGTTTTTAAAATGTAAACTAATGTGTAGTGACAGAAAGTGGATCAGGAGTTATCTAATGATGGGCAAGGCAAAGAGGGATAGATTATAAAAAGGCATAAAGGAACTTCTGAGGGTAATAAAATAGTATTCTCTCAATTGTAAAAGTTTCACACATGTTGCAATTCAACAAATTCATATTTTAAATGTATGCATACAATGGAATTTAATTGTTTTCTCAATAAAAGTGGAAATAAAGACAGAAAAGAAAAATACTCATGGATAACTAGGATCCCACAGTATGTCTTATTTTGATATGTTGTTATGTTACCTTGAACCTGCTTTGAGTTGATTTTTATCTACAGTAATTGTTTGGTCATTTAGTGGTAATGATGTCTATTTCCTGCCCTGGGAAATCAATATTTCCTCTACTGCTGGCTCATACACTCAAGAGATGTGTGGAACACGCAAGTCTGGAAAACAATATCGCATCCCTCTGATCATGACAGTTGGTGGGTCAGTTGCACTATAGGGCCAGTGAATAATGGGCTATGTTCCAGCAGTTAAGAGAGAGATACTTTTTCTTTGCTTCGTGATTTGAATCAGGGAAGATATAGGCAAGGGGCTGCCTTTGGACACTGTGTGATCATACACGTTGCTGGTTCAATTTTTTTCCCCAAAAGACAAGTGTTGAAGTTCTAGCCTTAGTACCTATGAATGTGACCTTATTTGGAAATGGGTCCTTTGTTAGTGTAATCAAATGAGGATAGTGTATGGACCTAATATGATGACTCTATAAAAGACAGAAATTCAGAGACACAGAAATAGAACAAAGAGGCCTATGACAGAGTTAGGTGTTGCCGTAGTGCAGCTACAACTCAAGGAAGCAAAGGGCTGATGGATACCATCAGAAGCAAGGAGAGTGACATGTAAGAGTATCACTCTGCAGCCCTGGGAGCGACCGTGTCCTACCAACACCTTCACTTCACCTTTCTCACGTGTTCTAATGTTCAAGCAGCCCTGCTTGTGGTAGCTGCTAGCCTTCTTTGGAAATTAATACAATTCGTAACTTCAATTGAATCAGTACCTAAGAAAGCAATGTTCAGAGACTCAGAGAAACCAGACTCAGGTGACAGTCTCTGAGCCCCTGATTAGTCTCTAGGGAGGTAACCTCTACTGTCTATTACAAGGGCCAATACATTATTGTATTTTTAAATGTTAAGGACAGTTTGGGTTACTTCTTTCTGTTAGCTGCAATAAAAATAACCTCATATGACAGAAGACCAACTGGATGACATAGTATGTTATATACATATCTGAAGAAAATGGCCCTTTACCTTATGGCAAAGGGGAACTTTAATTATTAGGAAGGAGGCCTTAAAGATCTTGTTTTTTTTCCTGAGTAAGCTTTAGGTATAGTTAAATAGAACCATTATTATTTATAGATCAGAACTTCTTGGTAAATAGTTTAAAACATGGGTAAAGGTTTATCACCAATTTCTCTATGTTTCTGTGCTGTGTCATTATCATATGTCATATGATAATATGTCATGCATGTTATCCTCCTTTCATTCCTACAATTTCACAGACATGAGGTATGGATAAATCTAATATTCACTAAAAATGTGTTTTATTACAAAAAAAATAATATTATTACTAACAGATCTCATCCATGCAACTTTCCCAGCAACAACTGGGTGTCACTCTGACCATCATACATAATTTGGTCTTCCATTTCATGAAACTGAGTTCATTGTTAAAAGGATGACTTTAAATGGTAAGAGCTATGCTTAGAGTAAAATGATAGTACATGCTTTTTACTCCTTAAGGTCACTGCTGGTGGGGACTCTGAGGATCCATTCCTCCATTGGACCAACTTCTTCCTCTCTTCCAAAACCAGGAAGCCACAGCCAAGTCAGGGAGGCATGAAGCAGATTCTAGTTCCTCCCTATAATTTGATTTGATTTGATTTGATTTGATTTGTCCTCAAGAGTGTAAAATGACAATAATAGAAATACCCACACACCAGGGAATTGGACCCAGGACTTCCATCATTTCATCTCATAAAGAACAACCAGAGGTCACAATCAGTTTCTCAGAGATGAAATTAAGACAGCAGCTTGTGTTATTAAGACAGTTCTTATAATTAAGTATGAACTTCACTGTCTCTGCTGAAATTTTTGTCTTTGAGCCGCAAGGTAATAAAAAACGCACAGCAGATGAGATTCCATTAGTGAGTGCTCTATTAGCACAGTCAGCCGGTCTTCCCGCTGCACTCACTAGAGCCATCATAGATATATTTAAACGTGGTCAGGCAGAAAGTTTAAATACAGGTAATGCCATGCTTTGCTACAACATAAGGATTACCACACAGATTTTTTTATACCTCAAAATATAGTTTTACAGTCTATAGTCTTAAGTGAAATTCCTTATTTCCCACTTTGTTATTGAAGGCAGATTTTAAATGTAAATGTTATTTTGAACACATTTAAAAAAAAATAACAACACAATCACTGCTCACTGAATTAATATTTGTTAAGTGCCTCAGACCATAGAGCAGGTTAAAATTCAAGATGAAATGGACTGTCAGTCACTTGGGGGAGTCCTGGGGACCTGGGATCAGAGAGTTGGGACTCACTCAGAACACAGACTGCCATCCAGAAGGAAAGACCTATTAGACTAGTCACAGTGCACAGGCCTGAACATCCAATACATACTTTGATACCAGGCCACTGTTCACCCTCAGGATGCAATGAAGAGGGCCATGGAAAATGCATGAGTGATATGTAATTAGCACATTTTATCCTATTCTTCTCAGTTTTGCCTGGGGTAGGCCCTGTGTGAAAAAAAAACATGGCAAATACCTTCACTGTTTACTCTTTCCTTGATATTATCCCAAATGGATAATTCCGCTCAAATAATCAAATATGCATGTGTGACTGGGCAATAAAGGAGATGTGTGGCTATGGCAGAATTCAGTCATGGGATTATGGCATCAGAAAACTCTTGCTGGTTTTACATTTTTCCATCCATTGTGTCTTTCACACAAATAAGTATGTGCCAGTCTTTGAAATTAATTATCCCTGGAAGGAGAAATTTTTATTCATTTTTACCAAGTTCTTACCATCCAAGTCATGCCTTGAGTTCATGGGTTTGTGTGCTTGGATGAGAAAAGAAGGGAGAGCCAACAGTAAAGTCATCCTTCTCTTTTCTAACCTTCCAGACTCACTCCCACCGTTCCAATGGAATGGAGAAGGTGCTTTTCCTTCCCAATTACAAGTTATCAGGGGCCGGTGAGGTGGCTCAGAGTACCTGCCCAGCATGCACAGGACCCTGTATCAGATCCCCAGGACAAAAACAAAAGAACTATCAAGGGAAATCTGTTAGAAGAGAAATACAAGAATATGTCTCTTGTTTCCAGAACAGAGTTGAAAGTTTGTTTTCCTCCCCAGGAAAGTAGCAGATTAATCAAAAGAGGGTCCAACTGCTGTAAGGACTAGCATATTAAATGAGACATTGTTCTCTGCTTTCTGGAATGTAGTAACTTTGGGAAGGAAAAAAAAAAAAAAAAAAAAAAAAAAATTTCCACCTT